GCGGATGGGTGGATAAGTTGCTGTTTGTTCCATGAGTTCAGACGGCTTTGGAGACTTTCTTTGATGAGTATGTTGAAGAAGGTGTTTGGTTGCGGTTTCTCATGCTGCCGAAATTAGGTGCTGGTACATATAGGATGCGTTGTGGTATGTACGGCATGTCCTGGCCTTGTGGTATTTGTCGTTTTTTTGGCTGCGTGAATAAACCTTTCTGCTGCTGCTGTAGTGAGGTTTATGGGCTTGTGGTGCATTTTGAATTCATGATTCAATTTAATCCAATGCTGTCATTTTCAGGTTGTGGTGTGGGCATTTGGTGAACATGCTACTTTTGATGGGCATGATTATAAGGATTATCAAGCTGCCGTCTGGATATACCTTATCGTATAGCATGAACTTTACTTATTTACCCGGTGGTCCTAATCGTATATGCACGGTTATTCTTCCATCTGATGCAAAAATTTAATACCAGTAGACCTTCCTACCTGCACTGGCAAGAACCTAACCGAATGGTGAGGATAATGGGAAAGCTAGGCCCAAAATTCAATCTTTGGAAAACTTGTAATAATGCTGTCCACGTTAGCAGGTTTTATAAATCAAACTTTATCTCATCATCCTCTGTTTGTAATTCTGCAGGCCTTGGTTACATGTCGGTTGCACGAAGTTTTTTCCGCATAAGGCCATGCTGAACGGGTTGGAAAGTGGTAGCAGAAGTGAGTCGTGTAGCGGTGCCGAGTATGTTTTGTGGGTGCTGAAGTTTGAGGTAGAACCTTTGTCCTTGTGGTGTTGTGATGGCAACTTTTCTGTATTGGAAAATTGCATAATGTGAGGCAGAGGATGTGAACGTGGCTACTTTGTGAAAACTGTCGGCAACAGGGTAATTATTGGTGAGTGATCTCTCTTCCGTTAAACAATTTTGTTCTTCAATTACATGAGTTATGTAAACTTGCACTGAAACATATTTACGGAAGCCACGTAACTGTTGCAGAATTAATGCAAGTTTTTTTTTATTGGTCGGCGGCGTCTCACGTGATAGTCTTGAAGCAGCGGAAGTTATCGTACGTACTGCGAGTGTTACGCAAGATCCTCCTTGGTCTCTTCTGATGTGCGTGATCCTTTGTTCGTTTTCCGTCAACTAACAGCTACTTTCATTGATCTTTTCATGTTTGATAGGCAGCCGACGCGAGGAGCTCGTGAGGAGTGTTACGAATTCAGGTCGAGGTTACGGCACTTGTGCTGCAGCAGCTTGTATCTTGTTCTATGTGGATATGTCCCTTTTTTTTACTGAATTTTCGTTGTTGTTGTAAGGGTGGGGCTACTCTTTTCTATGTATTCATACTGTGATTGAATTACGTACTAGCAGATTGGGTGTGGTAGACATTTATAGCTGCAGGATAGGAGATATTGTTCGCTGCACGTTTGGTATTTTTAGGCTTGGTGATTGGCATGAACATGTACTGGTTTTTTCATTATTTATGACATGTACATGGGCTAGGACTCATGAATTGTATATGGCCTTGTGTGGGACCACGTTCTCTCAACTTTTGCCTCTTCTTAAATTTTCTTTATACACATGGAAACAAATCTTTATATCCAATATTGTTGTCTTGAATGTGAGTTATACCAAACTTTGGGAGCAATTACCCATTTGAATTGCAATGTTTCCAAGACTTAGTTTCACAACTCTAACTACCACCACAACCATCTGAACTAGTGCACCCTGGAACTTTGTACCATAACTCGCCATTTTGAATTTTTGAATGACAAAGTGGGCTTTGAATTCTTGAACAATGTAATATGAATTTTGTATAAGCTTCAACTTGGGCTCGACGAATGTTATATCAACCTCATATTCAAACCACACATATTTTCCTTGCAATTCCCATGATACACTCGTATTTAAACTTGAACAATGATATACGATCTTGATCACCACTTGAATCCAAATCTCATCCAACATGTCGTTTTCTAATTAACTTTCAACCTTTACTGAGCTCAGTATTCGTACAAATAAATCTCCAATGATCCTCAATTCAGTTTCGACCCCATAACCTCTTGAGTTGGAAACAACATATAAGAAACAAACTACTCTTATTTTCTGAACAACTGCCCATGGGCAACAATTCAAAAAAAGATACAGGTAGGACAAATTTGGGGTATGACAGTGAGCTCAGCCTGTGTAAAAGATATTGATTGGTTTGTGAGACTGTCCGTTTAAATCTTTGTTTGACTCATGAGCTCAACCTGGTTTAAAAGCTCTTGTTTGGTTTCGAGATTGTCCTAGTGTAAAATCTTGTGTTTGTTACGGATGATAGCTAGTGTAAAACTCTTATTTGGTTACAAGAAGGCTCATGGGCATATAACTTGTGAAAAGTTCACATATGATATAGTTGAAACTCTCAAGAATAATCATTTAGGGACAATAGTAGATCAAGTGGTTAGGTCGAACCTCTATAAATTATGATGTGATTTCATCAACCTTTATCTCTTTATATTTATGTTGTTTACTTTTATTTCTGTTTCTATTTATTGTGCTGCCTTTTCTTTATTTTTCTTACAAAGTTATTTTAAACACTTTTATTTATTGAAGAATTTTTAATCATACTTCATTTTTCAAACCTCCACAATTCGCCCTCTTGTGATTGGAATCACATGTTCAATAACTCCATTCTCCAATTTTATGGAGGCTCTCATTTCCAAGTCGATATGAATATTTCCTAAAAAGCCTTAGGTTTTTTGGTCCTAAGAGAAGATCTAATATCAAGACACGGAGGTTACACAACAAAGATATGTGTATCCTGAATGATCTTTCTATCGTTTAGAGACTTCTTCTTTTTCAAAATACGAGTCAACAAACCAGACATGTCGCTTTTTTGAATGTCAACCCCTACCTCACCTCTCTTTGCCCTCTCCTTTTCCAACAATGATTTCTTCTTGGATACCAACAAAAGAGACATCTTCTCCACATAAAAGTATCAAGAGTTATTGGGAGAATACATAAGAAATACCTAAAGGTTATATATACAAAGTGTACTTACGTAAATAAACATAAATCACTGACTTATTCCTCTCACACTCCATCAACTCACTAACGTTCAAACAAAACAAAAAAAATTCTAAAAACTCATTGAAAATAAAAGAGAATACAAAATGATCAGGGACATAAACCTAACACAATAAAACCAAATAATTAGTCCAAACGGGTATACAGAAAATTTAAATACAATTAAATTGATTTTAAAAAACCGAACTAAACATTAACCACCCATCAAACCTTTGAGAAACAAAATAGTAAAAAATATGTTGTGGGCTTTCACTTCTCAAGACGGCGAATGAACCAACCACCAACACGAATTGATTCAAATACCAACAAACCCTACCATAAAACATATTAAGTTGACATTGACTCAGATGAGATAAATCTTAAATCGTGAAACATGTAGATCTCAGATATAAAGACAATGAGAGAAACAAAAGATAGAACACCAACATTACACCACATACACAAACTTACAACAGTGGCAGAATCAACATCACTTAAAATCCTCTAGAGAGACGAAGGAGCCACCATAAACACCATAAATAGTTCCGATTTAAAACGAAAAAATGTGACTCCAACACCAAATCAGACAAAACTCATAGAAACCAACACGAAACCTATAAAAACTAATAGAAAGCATGATGGAACCAACATTCGTGGAAAACATTGAAATTGACCTCAAAAGGGTGAAAATGAAACTACTTAATGAATAATTCAACTTTATAATTGAAGCCGAATGAATTGAATAATTCTAAATTATATTTCAATTTTTTTTAATTGTATATGTGCTATACTAAAATCAAATTTGATAATTCGATCTCTACAAAGTTCTTAAAAAACTATGAAATCCATAGAATTAAAAAAAAAATTAATAGAATCAATAATACAAACTTGATAATTTCACATCTAATTAATGTAGTTATTAAATAAAATTTGATACATAATTTGTTTATTATATATTATAATAAGATAAGATACATTAATTACTAGTCTACCCCTCTTCCTCCCTGGTTCTACCACCTCTCTCAATCTCCAAACCACATCGAGCCACTGATTCAACCCACCATTTGTATTTCCAGGTTCATCCATTCTTAATCAATTCTCTCTTTTCTCTATTCATTCATTATGCATACTTTAACTTTACAAATTCACACTCTTAGTTAGGGTTTGTTATGTATAATTAGGAACCAATTTCATCTTTTTAGGATACACATTTGGATTTGGTGATTTAAGATATGAACTTCTTCTGATTTGTTATATGAATTGCTTTGGGATTTCGATTTCAATTTGAGGATTTGTGAAATCAACTTTTTCTAATGTTATTATGACATGCTTGATGCTTCATTGCTTCAACAATTGCTCACAAGTTAAGTGTTTTAGCTTCTAGGTTTCATATAATAACCGTAATTGAATGTGTGGAATGATAAATTTTGGTTTTTTTGTTGTTAGAGCAAAATATGATTGCTAAAATTTGAAGCAAAACTTACCTTTTCAATGTATAACAGTAAGAATCTCTATTTCTAGTTTTGCATTCTAAGAGAAAACTTTTATGAAACATTGGTAAGATCATGTATGTAGTAATTATTCCCCTGCATGCGACAATGTTTTCAAATAGTGGCTAGAACGCAATGACAACGCGCTTGAAAGTCACCGTTGTTCCGTGATATGCTATCTAATGTTAAGCATTATCAAGTATTGGCTTCTGTAGCTCTATAGCCCTATAGCATAGCGGATCTAAACAAACCGCTATTTCCTGCCATCCACGATTGACAATATCGCTTTGCAATTAGACAGTTGCCTCAATTCAAACTCATAGTTTTAAATTAGTTTTTTAAAGGAAAAAAATGATTGCAGATGTAGAGGTTTTTCCCTTAATTATTAGTGTTTACTATGCAGATTTTGTGATAGACACGCAATGTGTAAACCATTTGTTTAGAGATCCCTCAATGTTTCAATTTCAACCTCCATGGCATTGATTCTCCTAATCGCTTGTATCATTTTTGTTTGGATAACTTCTCTATTCAAAATTTTCCTTCTTGCTCGCATCCGTTCCACCAAACATTTTACGCTGAATGGTATGCTTTCTTTTTCTCTTTTTTTTTTTGGGTTCCATTTTATCTCTTAATTTATTTCACTCTAAAAGTTTGTTGTTTGTTTATATTATTTTGTTTTCTCGCTTGTGTTCAGGTAGAGCTTTTCGGAAGAGAAATGTCTTACTGGTTATTGCTCACCCTGATGATGAATCCATGTATGTTTAAATCTGCCAATCTTGTTATTTTTATTATGTTGATGATATTGAGTGACACGTCAATCTCTTAATATAGCCTTGAATTTAAGGCTTATGATAAACTTATTTATGCTACTGTAGTTATGATAAACACCTGCTATGATATGATCTAGTTTTAGTGCTATTTTGTCAAATTAGTTCTAGTTAGGGTTTTTTTATTCCCTTTAGGTGAACCTAACTGTTTTGAAGTTTATATTTTCAAATGTCTGCATTGTGATTTCACATTGTTTTGAAATTTTATTCCATTTCTGCAGGTTCTTTGCTCCAACTATAAATTTTCTGACATCAAGAGGGCATAATGTTCAAATACTCTGCTTATCTAATGGTGATTAGCTTTAGATAATTCATTTGTGTTATAATTTATAGCAGTTAGTTATGGTATATGTGTGTTTATGTTGATTCTTTTTTTTTTCTTTTGGCGATTTTAGTTATGCTTATTTTTAACCAATTTTAAAATTATTGTATTTTCTTTCAACCCGTGTTGCAGTTCAATTTTCTTCTGAGCGGAATTTTTCTGAATTAAGCAGGTTCATTTTAAGTAGAACTGTTTTCAATGTGTAGAGTTCTATATACATCTACACTTTGGCTATGATATTTAACCTAAATAGATAGTATGCAAAAAGAAGTCCAATATTGATAATGAGATGATAATAGACGTCAGTATTATCAAGTAGAGTGCGCCATGGCAAATTGTGGTAGCAGATTTTTTCCCAACTGCAATGGCCAATTTGTGAAGGATGGCGGCGCCATGGCGTTTTATCCTGCTTAAAATGGAAGATATTTTGTATTTAGAGGCCTTTAAATTATTGAGTATTGAATTTTGCACGTGAAAGATTTATGGCTTGAAATATTTCTCTGTTTTTTAGATATAGAATCTGGATGTGAGAAAATCAAGTATCTACCACAGGCTTTGAGAATCATTAAATGTTTATGTTTCAATCCTTTACATAGTATTTATTTGTATTACATTCTGTAGGTGATGCCGATGGCAAAGGGAATGTTAGAAAGCAAGAGCTTTATCAGGCTTGTGTATCCCTCAAGGTGATTTGCAAAGTAGCTTGAAATAAATATGGATAGTGACTTCGATAAGAGCTTTTTGTTGCATATTAAATTACTGGCCGTCTCGCAATAACTTTTTATCCTTAGCTTTGCTTAGAACTAAACTTTTTTGGAAAACATAGGAAGCCTTTGATAATGTTTTTTGCAGAGGCTTAAGGTAGGCTCTATCTCACAACTTGATAAATTGTTTGTATAATATTGGTTCACAGGTTCCAATGCAACAAGTGAAGATTATCAACCATCCAGATCTGCAGGTTTTGATCTAATAGGTCTATCGAAGTTGTAAAACTTAAATGTTAATACAAAAAAATTGTTAGTTCCTTATATTGTCATTCTTTATTCTGTTGTTATATTTAGGATGGTTTTGGTAAAGTTTGGAACCATAGCTTATTGGCAAAGATTATTGAGGAAGAAATAACCAGTCACTGCATTGATATGGTAAGATCCTGCCTCTGCAAACGTAGTTTGAGTCACGAAGCTTTTGTTTGTGCAGTCATAAATCATCTTTTAGCAGATTCTCATTATTACTTTTATTACCCCAGATTATTACTTTTGACAAATACGGTGTCTCGGGACATTGTAATCATCGTGACGTGCATTATGGAGTATGGTAATCGCATCATTTAGCTATTTAGATTAAATCCAGTTGACTGATCACATCATTTTTTCTCATTCTTATGCTGCTACCATAGACTAACCTGAAAAAAAAACTCCATGTTGTAATGTAAGCAGCAAGTTACTATATGATACGTCAAGAGGAGATATCGAAGTTTGGGAGCTTGTATGTTTTTGATTTCTTAATTTTATTCTATTCTTATAGGATCAAATTGAATAATCTCAAATTGACTTACTCTCTTTGGGTGTTTTCATTGCTCTCAGGTCAGCACCAACATATTGCGCAAATATAGCGGTCCAAATGATATATGGTTATCTATGTTTTGGGCCATGCTGCCCTCAAATGGAACAGTGCAGTGCTTGGTAAATGAACATTCGCGTAGAAGTTTTATTGCTATGTCGCAACACAAAAGCCAATGGGTTTGGTAGGCATGCTTTACATAATTATTTTTGTGAATCTGTTAACGTTGCATGACAAAACATATGTTTTTCTCATCTAACAATTGATTTTGTTTTTGCAGGTTTCGCAAGCTTTTTGTAATCTTGTCCAGTTATACTTATATGAACACTCTTAGAAAGATCAAGTGAAGTTGCAATGCCAACAAAGTTGTGTTGCTTGTGAGATCAACTTTCATTTGTTGCAATGCCAACAAAGTTGTGTTGCTTGTGAGATCAACTTTCATTTGTTGCAATGCCAACAAAGTTGTGTTGCTTGTGAGATCAACTTTCATTTGTTGCCATTCAATTTTGATCTACATGATTGGATACCAAAACTTACATTGTTCAAGTTTTTCATTTTGTGGACATGTGGTTCAATCTCCAGAGACTTTAATAATGAGGACGATTGAGTTAGTCATCCCATCCACCGGTTCTACACTCCCTAGCTATCATGATTTGTTGCGCTTGTGTTTGATTCATCCCAGGTGTTTAAAAATTGGAGAGACTTTGTAAATCTGAATGTTGTAAAAGGAGACATTGTAGTTAATTAGTCTTATTGATGCCGCGTCAAATACCTGGGTGAATCAGACGTGAGCGAAACAAGTTAGGGTAGTTAGATGATGTAGAACAAGAGGTTGATATTATTGACCTGATCATTCTCATTAGTGTTTAAAATATTATATAAAAGTAATTTAAATTTAATATTAATTTTTATTTAGTTTTTTATATATTTATTTTTTAATTAAAATAAATAAATAATGCACTCACGTGCCAAATGAACTGGCACTGGCACTTGAAAATTCAATATTGTCACCAATTAAATTTCCAATACTACATGACACGTTTTGTTTTGTTTTGTTTCTTAAATGGAGACACTAATTCATTTGACATCTATTCGTTCCAATTTTTTTGTTTGAATGTAGATTACTTTATGTGGGAGACGTGATTATTATTGGAATTTATTTGAAAGAGTTATTTGCATAAATTTTTTTCGAAAAAGTCACATGTCAATTTGAAAATTGTAAGTTAGAGTCGTCATGAATCATATTTAAGAAACAAAACATTTAGTGACAGAGAAATTATTACATAAAGACATAAGAGTGAAAAAGATAGCACATAACTAGGGTCCATGAACATAAACATATTTTGATGAACAATTGTGAAATAATTCTCCACTTGATTTCATCATCAACATCAAATTTCAAGTAATTCATATATGCCATTTAAGTAAGATAATTTGTTTTGAAGTGGAAAAAATTATCACAATTTAATTATCTGTTTAATCATTAAACTCTTTCCAATTTTTAAGCCATCTTTCTTTCTTTGAAACTTTTGAAATTTCATTTTGGTACCTTCTTCATATATAGAGATTACTGATAACAAATTAAATGTTGACAGAAAGGCACATAATAATGAAGCCAAAACATAGACAGCAACATATGTCAGTTGAGACAATAACAATAACTCTCCTTATCTTCATCTGTATCTCTCCCAAATAAGCAATCCATAAAAACATTAAGCACTTAAATCAATTAAGCTAAGGAAAAAAAACACAATGTATCTCCACCAAATTATGCAGTAGTAGAATCTATTACTTTCTCCAAAGCCTATACAATGATCAAAACAATTATCACCTTATTAGCCATAAGCACTTCTTACTTGTTACTTCTAACTACTCCAACCAAGAATCCTACCTATTATCATTCTCTCTTTATATCAAATTCTTTATCAGATAATGTTTCGATATCCAACAACCTTGAAATTCTCACACATAGGCCTCACACAGCAGGTTCTGAAGCCAACAATGAAGCTGCAGCTTATGTTGTCTCAGTACTTACTTCATGTAACATACTTTCCCGTGTAACATCCTATGATGTTGCTCTTACATATCCTGTTTCTCGTTCATTGGTCTTGACAAAATCATCTTCAGAATCTTCTTCCGTTAGCTTTAACCTTAGTCAACAAGTTTATGAAGGTGATCCTTATGCTGATGTGGCCGATGAAGTTGTCCCTACGTTCCACGCATATGCCAAGTCAGGTACTACTCTTTTACAATGTTTTCGGGGAATTTGAATTCTGTTATTTGAGATTATAAAGTCAAATTCGTACCACTGAACTGACCAGGTACGGCCGTTGGTTCTGTGGTTTACGCAAACTATGGAAGGGTGGAGGACTATTTGAAACTCAAAGAAATAGGAATCAATGTTTCAAACACGGTTGTTTTGGCGAAGTATGGAAAGATCTTTAGAGGAGACATTGTGAAGAATGCATATAAAGAAGGTGCTATAGGAGTTGTGATATATTCGGATAAAAAGGACTATGGCGGCGGCGGCGGAACAAAGTGGTTTCCTGATGAAAAATGGTTGCCACCGAGCGGCGTTCAGGTTGGGAGTGTTTATGGTGGGACTGGAGATCCTACAACACCTGGTTGGGCTAGTAGTGGCGCGTGCGAGAGAATATCAAAGGATGAAGTCGAGAAAAGTGGTGATGTTCCTTTGATACCCTCATTGCCGGTGTCGGGTGAAGACGGCGAAAAGATAATTAGGTCAATTGGTGGTCCTGTTGCTGAAGATGATTGGCAGGGAAGTAAAGATGCACCTACTTATAGGGTTGGACCGGGACCAGGGATTCTCAATCTCAGTTACACGGTATCGTATAAGTGCTTATATATCCGCTCATTAAATTCCTATTGAGTAATGTTTTTTTTGAAGGAATTTGGATATTGGTTTTTAGGGGCAGGATGTTATAGCAAGAATTCAGAATGTGATTGGTGTGATTGAAGGAACAGAAGAGCCTGACAGGTATGAAAAAATTCCTCCTTTATGGTTTGAATCATTCAATGGCAATGAAATGTGATGATGCGGCTTAAGATTAAGAACTATAGAAAATGCATTCTTGTTTTCAATGAAAACTTCTACTTAGTAACTTTTGCAACTTTTTGTAGATTTGTGATCTTAGGTAATCATAGAGATGCATGGACTTTTGGAGCGGTTGATCCTAATAGTGGCACTGCAACACTACTTGAGGTAACAATGGCTTTCTACAAATGGTTTTGTTTATGACTATAATTTTGATGCACTTTACACATTAAACCAATGATAAATCCATCTTATGTGTGATTTTTAAGGTAGAAATACTGAACCAATGAACTGTATATAGTTCGCCCCAAACTAAACTGGTTTAAAAGTTCGGTGCACCGGTTCTTTGGTTTTGAAACGAACCATAACTATCTTTACACAAAACCAAATCGAACGAACCAAAAATCAAACCAATTCACACCGAAATAAATTATTTATGACCGATAGTTCACGAACTGAATCAAATTAGTTCAATTTAGTTCGTGAATTGTCAGTCATAAGTCTCTTTTTTCGGTGCAGTTTCTTTCAGTTTTTTTAAATTGTTCACGAAAAAGAAAAAAAATGACATGTGAAATAAAAATTCAGGTAGCCCAAAGATTAGGGAAGCTTCAGAGAAGAGGGTGGAAGCCTAGAAGAACAATCATATTATGCAATTGGGATGCTGAGGAATATGGTCTAGTAATAATCTTCTTTCTCATTCTTTTCTATATTTCTTACACACAAAAAGGTCAAAATTTGACACACATTCATTTCTTACAGATTGGATCAACAGAATGGGTAGAAGAGAACAGAGAAATTCTTACTTCAAGAGCAGTTGCTTACTTGAATGTTGACTGTGGAATAGCTGGACCAGGGTTCCATGTCCGTGCTACTCCACAACTTGATGAATTGATCAAAAAAGCTATTAAACAAGTATGGCAAAAAAAGTTCAATAAAAAACTTATCTCTTTTTATTCTTTAACCAACACTTGTGTTGGGTCAATGATGAGTTTATCTTTCTATTTGTAGGTAAAAGATCCGAATAATTCATCTCGGAGCATCTATGATTCTTTGACTAGCACTGGTAGCTCTCCTCAGGTAAGTTACTTGTTGTGCAAGCAACTAACTAACTCACTTCGTTATAACGTGTTTGTAAGCTCAATTCATTGTGATCATGAATACCCAATTTGATTCTTCATCCTTATGTGTGTGATTACGAATTCTAATACGCGTATTTAAAAGTTTGGAAGGTTAGGAGGTGGAGGATCAGATTATAAAGCTTTTCTGCAGCATGTGGGAATTCCAGCAACTGATATGTCCTTTGGAGAAGGTAAAACACAAATTTAATTCTTTTAATCGTATCAATAATTTCATTTTTTCTATACACAGAATTTTGATTTGTCACCAACAATATGAAAAAAAATATATTTCAAATATGTTGCAGGGTATCCAGTATACCATTCACTATATGATGATTTCATCTGGATGAAAGAATTTGGTGATCCTATGTTTCAAAGACATGTTGCAGGTTGGTATTTGAGACTAGTGATATCTAAAATTTAGTTTTGGGTGTTTTAGTTACCCTAATAAATTGTTTATGTTATGGAAAACAGCTGCAAGTGTTTGGGGTCTAGTAGCACTTTGGCTAGCAGATGAGGAATTCTTACCTTTTAATTATTTATCATATGCTAAGGAGCTTAAGGTGATTTGATCAAACATTAGTAGTAACACTGACTATTTTCATTAAATTTGAGAACCAAATATATACTTACAACATCAAATATTTGAATGTTAGCTTAACATGGAGGAACTGAAGAATGAGGTTTCAAATAATGATATAAATTTGTCTCCTATGTATAAGTCCATCATGGAGCTTGAAAAAGCAGCAACCAAGATAAATAACCAAATAAAGGTATGTCTTTTGAGTAATTTTAAACCTTAACATAATTATTATACAACTCAATGTGGAGATAGAATGTTGAAATTTTTTCAGGAACTTGAAGCAAGTGAAAATTGGAGAACATGGAAAATGGAACATTTGAAAGTGAGAGAACTAAATGATAGACTGATGATGGCTGAGCGTGCATTCACTGACAGAGATGGTCTCTCTGGAATGCAATGGCATAAACATTTGGTAACTCTTTTTTTAGGGACTTTTCGTATCCTAAAAAGCTAACTTTTTGTTGAAAAGTTATGAAAACTTTCACTTAATGTCATTTTCCTCTGTTTTTCAGATCTATGGACCATCTAAACATGATCGCTATGGCTCTCAATCATTCCCTGGAATAGGTGATGCTATACAAATGGCCAAAA